TCGCCACTGTGTAGCGCCCTATAATTTGAGCTAGGGTTGTCGTGTCTTGCTCAAGGACACACTCCAGTGGCCACCCATCTGATCCCCGTGTCACCGACACTATGATGGTAATGGATAATGAGGATTGTGTCTCTAACAGTCCAGACATTTAGAATATAACCCTACATTTTCCTGCTACTCAAAGGAGGCTATAAGAATCCTGGGATAATATTCTAAAAGTGTTTTTTTTTTTTTATTGTTTTAAGATGGCATTGAATTCTTTGCACCTCAGCCCCTCCACATACCCCATCCCTTCCACATCATTCTGTCCCTATGCTTGATTAGAGGGCATCATTGCTGGTAGGTCCTGGTTCTTTACTGTCCATGGGTGGTTGGAAGGCGCCACTGGTAGGTCTTACTTCTTTTTTTCTTCTTGTGTTGTTTCTGTCTATCTGTCTTGCTTCTTCCCTGCTCTATATGTGAGTCGCTCGTCCAAATATTGAAACGGAAAAAAGTGGCATTTTCCTGCCAGTTTGGCAATTTTTACTGATTTTTAAATATTTTTTGGGCACCTTATGTCCATCTAAGACCACATTTCTGAGTTGATTTTGCAGAAAAGCGTTGAATGAAGACATTAAAGATGTATTTTTTTCTGTTTCCATGGACTAACAATCTATGGAAATAACCGAATTTTGGTGGTCATTTTCTCGCTAATTTTACCTCTGAAACCAGGTGACCCACACCTCCTTCAATTGCAAATATCTGGACTTGTATTCAAGATAAATGGGTATTTTTTTTCATCAAAAGCAAGACAAATGAACAAGCTGTAAGATAATACCAATAACTCCACATGCCCCAAAATTGACAAGCGCCTGATTCCACTGTGTCGTGGCACATTTGGTTATTGTGTCGGGTGCTTATCTTGACTCACACTCTGTACTGGTCCTCCATATATTGTTACCTCTGTCTATCTTGCTATTTCGTGGCACCTAATGACCATTATTGAGTCAGTGTGCTTCTCTTTACTCAAACTCTCTACTGTCTCGGTATATCTTGCCATTTCCTGGCACTAAATGACCATAATTAAGTCAAATGTGCTTCTCATGACTTCGGCTGTAACCCTCTATATTGTTGATCTCAGTCTACCTTGCTGTTTCCTGGCTCTAAATGATCATAATTAAGTCCATGAGCTTCTCTCGACTTCGGCGCTATCCCTCGTGTGATTATTTCCCTTGACAGGTGACTCATTTGCTCTACTGCTTCCTGATTAGTCCCAACTGCGAACTCTTCAAACAGAGCGTGGACGCCAGCAACCAGGACAGCCTGCGTGAGTTGACACACACACACACACACACACGCACACGCACACGCACACACACCCACACACACACACACACACACATAGCTTTTTTCCTCCCTTTGCACTGTTTATGCCTATGGCACGCTTATCTCTCTCTCTCTCTCTCTTTTTTATGTCTTTATAAACAGTAAAATGAGAGGGGGTTTAAACCTTTCATGACCTATTGTATTATGTCAAACGCTGTTCGCCATTTTTTCATGTGTGGCGAAGGAGACAAGAAACGATGTATGTCTGGGTTTTTTAATGTGTGACTTTAAAAATTATACATTTCTACTCTTTGTTTGACAACCACTTGAGAAATTATATGTGTTTGCTGTATTTCACTCTATCAACTTGAGATATAATATATATTTTCTATATCTGTCTCACAATCAACTTGATTATACTTACCTGGAAAAATTATACATGTGGATGGTTGGCGGGTGCTCCTGTGTGGTTTTTTCCTATCTATCATCTATCGTCCTGATCTCCCCTCTTTCTTTTTTGTGTTTGTTACTCTCTTGTACCACCTCTAATCTTCGGTATTTATACGACCTTATTGTGTTG